TGCCTTTCTTGTTTTGCCATTACCACCACCACTTCTGTTACTTGGCGATTTTAATGCCCATCATTTCCTCTGGGAGGGGGTCTCACTGTGATTCCCGTGTCATTCAGTTAGAGGCTTTCCATGCTACCCACCCCCTTCATGTTTTAAATACAGGTACTCGCACCCATTTTGATCCTCGGACTCTCACTCTCTCTTGCATCGATCTCTCAGTCTGCTCTTCCTCCGCCGCATTAGACTTCACCTGGTCTGTTCTCCCAGATTTACATGACAGCAATCGTTTCCCAATCATTCTCACTTCCCCTTCATATTCACCACCTCTTCGTATCCCACGCTGGCAATTTGATCAAGCAAATTGGAACCTTTACTCACAACTAACTGTTTTTAGTGAGGTTCCTTCTTCGTCCTCCATTGATGAGCTTTTACACCTCTTCTCGTCCTCCGTTTTAACTGCAGCTTCTCATTCTATACCCCAGACTTCGGGCAGGCATTCTCAGAAATACATGCCTTGGTGGTCTCCTGCTTGTGCTCGTGCAGTACGTTTGAAACGCGCTGTGTGGGGCAGGTACTGGTACAATAGAACCACGGAGAGACTTCTTGATTTTAAGCAGAAGCATGTGATCGCTCGCCGTGTCATCTGTGATGCTAAACGCACTTGCTGGCGAGATTGTCTCCACCATCACCTCTGCTTCCTCTATGAGTGCAGTCTGGATAAAAGTACGAAAACCGAGTGGTAAATATTCTCCTGACCCGGCTCCTGTTCTGCGGGTTGCCGGTGTTGATATAGCAAACCCACTAGATGTTGCCAATGAAATTGGCAATCATCTGGTCCGTATTTCTCAGGGGCTCCATCTATGCCCCTCGTTTCTTTCCTCAAAGTCTGCCAGAGAGTTAGCACCCTTGGACTTTTCTTATCTCGGAGAAGAACAGTATAATGTGCCTTTTACACTTCAAGAACTGGAGGCAACACTCTCAGCTTGCTGATCATCGGCAGCTGGGCCCGACGACATTCATATTCGTATGCTACATTTACATCAGTCAGCCCTTGCAGTCCTATTATGCCTTTTCAATCTTATTTGGTCACAAGGAGTTCTTCCACAGCTGTGTAAATCTGCCATTGTTCTCCCTTTCCGCAAACTGGGTACTAAAGGACATGATGCCTCCCACTATCGTCCCATTGCTCTTACCAGTGCAGTTTGCAAAGTGATGGAACGCCTGGTAAATAGACGTTTAGTGTGGTATTTAGAGACACACAACAGTCTCTCCACTCGTCAATATGGCTTTCGTAAGGGACGTTCTACCATAGACCCCTTACTACACTTGGATACATATGTTCGTAATGTCTTTGCAAATAACCACTCAGTTATTGCTATATTTTTTGACCTTGAGAAGACATATGACACAACTTGGAGGTATAATATTTTGGCCCAAGCCCACTCCTTAGGCCTCCGAGGCAATCTACCATCCTTCCTTAAGAATTTTTTAACTGACAGACATTTCCGTGTTCAGGTTAATAATGTGCTCTCCCCGGGCTTTATCCAAGCTGAAGGTGTCCCCCAGGGATGTGTTCTGAGCACAACACTTTTTCTCCTTGCTATAAATGATTTGGCCTCTAGTCTTCCATCAAATATTTGGTCATCACTCTATGTTGATGACTTCGCTATTGCCTGTGCAGGCACTGACTGTCACCTCATTACAGTTTCTCTCCAGCATGCGGTCGACCGTGTTTTCAATTGGGCCACCACACATGGGTTTAAATTTTCAAGTACCAAAACTCGCCAAATTACTTTCACTAGACGCTCTGTCATCTCCGATCATCCTTTGTACCTCTATGGTTCCCGTATCCCTGAACATGATACAGTCAGGTTTCTGGGCCTCCTCTTTGACCGTAGGTTATCCTGGAAACCTCACATTACCTCTCTGACGGCAACTTGTCACAGCCGACTGAACCTTCTTAAAACCCTTGCTCATCTTTCATCTGATCGTCGAACTCTCCTTCGCCTACATTCCACTCTCATTTTATCGAAACTTGATTATGGTGACCAGATCTATTCAGCAGCCTCTCCTACTACTCTCTCTAGCCTTAACACCATTCATCACCAAGGATTACATTTATGCCTTGGTGCTTTTCGCTCTTCCCCTGTTGAGAGCCTCTATGCAGAAGCGAACGTTCCATCCTCATCCAATCGCCGTGATGCCCATTGCCTTTGCTACTATGTACGCTCTCATGATCTCTGCAATCCTTCCATTTATAGAATGGTCACTGATATTAGTAGACATTATTTGTTCGCCGCCCCTGTTTACTCCGTCCCTTCTCTCTTCACCTACATTCGCTCTTGTCTTCTCTTCAGTTACCACCTTTCTATGTTCAAGTAGCATCTCACTTTTCCCTACCCCCCCTGGGAAGTTCCAGCTGTTTGAGTCTGTTCTTTCTCTCTCCCTTGCTCGAAAGACCAACTTTCTATGGCCGCTTCCCGCTCTCTTTTTCTTGACCACTTCCACTCTCATTCTCATGCCATTGCAGTGTACACAGATGGCTCTAAGTCTTCTGACGGCGTAGGATTCGCAGCAGTGTTTCCGGACAGCGTCGTACGAGGGCATTTACTATCTTCGGCTAGTATTTTTACTGCTGAATTGTATGCCATTCTTGCAGCACTTATCTGTATTGCATCAATGCCTGTGTCATCATTTGTGGTTGTCTCAGATTCCCTTAGTGCTTTACATGCTATACAGAAATTTGATATCATCACACCCTTAGTCCTCCGTATCCAACTTGGCTACGCCACATTTTTACCAAGCATAAAGATATTGTTTTTTGTTGGGTCCCTGGTCATGTTGACGTACAGGGCAATGAACAGGCAGACACTGCTGCGCGATCAGCAGTACATGACCTACCAGTTTCATATAGAGGCATTCCATTTACCGACTATTTTGCTGCAATAGCTACCCGCCTTCACACCCGCTGGCAACAACGTTGGTTTACTCTGCTCGGTAACAAACTTCAATCTATTAAACCAAGTATAGGTTACTGGCCGTCTTCTTGTCACCAGGGTCTTCGCATTGGCCATACTTGTCTTACTAATGGATATCTCATGGAGAGGCGCCCTGCTCTTCTCAGTGAGAACTGTCAGGTTCCATTATCAGTTAGCCACATTCTGTTAGACTGCCCACTTTATCAACGAGCACGCAAAATTTACCTCCATCGTCGTCTTCGCTCCGCTGCTCTCTCTTTACATTCCCCTCTCGCTGATGGACCCAACTTTCATCCGGACTCTCTCATTGACTTTTTGACAACAACTGACTTACTTCACAAACTCTGATACCTTCAGCCCTTTCTACCTCAATCTCTTGCTACCCTCTACCCCCGCAATGAGATGTTTTAATCTATTGTTCATGCATTTGGGATCATTTTTTGCTAAATCTAATTTCCCTACTCGGAACAAAAGCTGTCAGGGCAGCTAGAACTATGCTCTGAAAAACGTCATATTGGCAACCAAGATCACCTACCTGACCCATAGTCAGGACATCCCAATTTAACCCACCCAAGTAATTTTTCAGTCCCATGAAGTCGGCCAAGCCAAAATCTGGGACAGAGATTTGATTGCAGTTATCTGGGTAATTCCATGATATATTGAAACTAAGTGATTTGTGATCACTTTCCCCAAGCTCATCATTAACCTCAAGATTATTAATTAGTGAATCTTTGTTGACAAGAACCAAGTCAAGCAGATTGTTTCCTCTAGTTGGTTCTGTCACAACCTGTTCTAAAAAGCAATCCTGAACCGTATCAAGAAAGTCACTAGACTCAAGATTTCTTGTCATATTGTTCCAATCAATTTGTCTAAAGTTAAAATCTCCCATTATCACAACATTTTCATATCTAGATGCCTTATGAATTTCGTCCCATAACAGCTTACTGCCCTCCCTATCAAGGTTTGGGGGCCTATAAATCACACCCAAAATTAATTTGTCACGTCCCTCGAGAAACTGTAGGCAAACAGATTCTGTGTTCGATGTTTCTAATCTTATATCATGTCTAAGACAACAATTTAAATTTTCTCTGACATACATCGCCACACCACCACCATTCCTGTTGACCCTATCAGTGTGGAATAGTTTATAAGCCTGTATGTTGCATTCAGAAGGCATTTCTCTATCTTTCAGGTTGAACCAGGTCTCTGTTATACCAATAATATCCATATTACCTACACTTGCAAGTAATCTTAGCTCATCTATCTTATTTCTTAGACTCCTACTATTTGTATAGTAAACCTTAAGGGAGCTAGTCACTCGTTGCCCTCTACTATCTCTCTTTGTTTGTTGATCAATTGATTTGCCATTACTAGCAACTTTATTTTGAATTTTGTCTTTTAAACATATCCCTGAGGTATCCCGGTAATAACTGCTGTTTTTAACCTTAATACTGCAGCCTGATTGTTTCCCACAAACACCCATACCCCTATAATCTATCAGTTTAAATTCCTAGACAAGTCATCAGTTACCCTCTCAATTGAATTGGCTAATGCAAAACTCCATCCCCAAAGAGATGAACCCCATCCCTTGCATACATATCACGTTTGCCAAAGAATAGGTCCCAGTTATCAATGAATGAGATTGCAAGTTCCTTGCAGTACCTGTCTAGCCAGCAATTTATATATTGCCCTAGACATCCATTCATTGCCCATTCCCTTTCCAGCAAGATGCTACATATGACTGGGATCCCTCCCTTAGACCTAACTACTTCTATGGCTGACCTGTACTTATCCAGCAGCTCCTCTCTCCTGCCCTTCCCAATGTCATTACTCCCAGCACTAAGACAGATAATGGGCTTGTTCCCATTACCTGCCATAATATTATCCAACCTGCTGACTATGTCGCTAACACCAGCTCCAGGAAGACACACTCTCTGTCTGACCTTTCTGAAACAAATGCAATATTCCTCTTATAAAATATAATTAAAGTATGTGATATCACAGTGAAAGATCATCACATTGAAAACCCACCTCGATAAGTTGATCAGTGATTTTATATTCCAACTTAAATTTTGGAATATTGAGAACAACTTTCTCTCTTTTAAGGCTTTGGACGACGGCGCTCAAGGTGTCCTCATTGAGACGTTGCAGCATAGTGTCAAGGGAAGCCACAGAATTTTCGTAGGGCAGCAGCACGATCATGGAAGCCACATCGCCCTTGTACGGCATCTCCAGCACCGTTGCTTGCAGTTCGTTTGAGTCACCTTGAAGGAAAAAAATGCAAACTTTGAACATTCATCCCCTTCTCACTGCCGTAACAGACTAGATTAATAGCATTATACATGCCTAAATATTAATAGGAATGCCTTCTTTTGCAACTTATTGAATTATATTGCTGTCTTGCTTTCTGCTGACCGAGTGACTCCACCTACTCCAGTGATATCTAAATGGCAAACGTGTCTAGGTCAATCAGTAGCTATAGAACCAGAAATAGCAAAGGTAGAAGTAATGGAAGAAATGTTAATAATGATACTAATAATAGAAGATGTATATAATATTATATCTTCTTAATATTAGTTACGTGCTTCAAAGAATTATTGAAACATTACCTACCAAACAGTAGCTCAGTGGTTGAACATCAATGTCATTACAAAAAAGACAAACAGTAGGGTCGATTTTTGGCTTGGCCATATTTGCTGGTAATTCCGGGAGAACCAAAATGCGTCTTTCTGTTCATTAAATCTTCTTGTGTTGTCCTTTAAAACATTGGCTATTTCATTATCCCCATCCCCCCTTTTTCACCTTCCTCCCTCCTCTCAACCCTCCCTTTTCCCAGTCCCCCCCTCCCAACCTTCCCTTTTCCCAGTCTCATTTGTAGCCTCTGGGGTCCTCCCCTCTGACATTACGGTTCTTCTAGGTAGGGGAAAGTGTGCCAGAGTTCATCCCACTCCATGAGGTTCCTCGGGTGTGGCGTAGTTTGCCTTGGAATCTGGATTGTCTAGAGGCACCCTACTCCCTTCCCGGATTTCCAAGAAGTGGGCGGGGTGTCCTGCAGATGACGGGTGTATCTCCAGAGGCTGCCTGTCGGTTCTGGGAGGTGACAGCCGAAGAAGGCATGCTTTGCGACGGGTCTCTGACTGCCCTCTGTTTTGTCCGCCGAGGTGGCTCGATAGATGTGAGGTTGCTATCCCAGAGTGCTGGTTTACTGGTGTGAAGGGTAGGGTATGGCATGGGTTCCACTCTGTATCTGCACTGCTTGAGGACTCAAGGTCTTCTCGGATGAGAGGAGAAACTTATGGCCCTTTCATACCTTCTAGTAACTGTCCCTCCATTGTCTTTTTTTTCTTTTTTTTCTTTAAAATAATAATAAGAAAGAAGTACCATTATCATGGAGTCTTAGTTCCGTTATAACTCCCCTCCTTCCAGGCCCCTTTCTGTTCCCACATCTTGTTCTGACCCAGCTTCATTACTGGACCATTCTCTAGACTCTTCCCATACCCCTGTAGCTTTTGCTGGTGGCGCTTTGTCAACTGCTCCAGGTGCTGAGGCTCCGCCCGTTTCTGTTAGTACCTCTGCCTCTTGCACACCTTTAACTATGTGTCTGGCTTCCCCAAATACTGTGCCATGGTTTTCGGATCACCCACCTACCTCAGGTCGAGCTGCCTGCGGTAATACGCCTAAACGTTCCAAACCATTTGCTCCTGACAGTTCTTCGATGTCTGCTCATTCCATCAAAAAAAAAAAAAAAACTATGTGACACCTACTTTCTTTATGCACCATGTTCATAAGTACGCAGTAAACTTAATTCTTTTCCTTACAACCAACATCTCCAGCTGATTATCTTTCTGACCATAGTGTTGGTAAAGCTCTTTTACGACACGTTGGCCATAATATATCCTTTCACTCTCTTCGAAGCGGTGCATGCACCATTACAGTTTAGAATGCAGAAAAATCTCACGATCTTTCCCATCTTACTTCCATTGATAACATTACAATCACAGTTCATAAGCGTGCTTCTCTCAATTCTTGCAGTGGTATGGTAGTTTTGCCGCTTACCATTGTACAGAGTGACTTTCTGCCTCGTGGTCATACTTTGGAGCAATTAAGCCTTCAGGATCTTCCAATTCTCAAAGTAGATATATATGTCCTACCCGCTAGCGAGCAGAGGCACTTTCTCAGTAACATCGCCCACTTAACCTTTGACTGCCGTGAACTCCCGTCATTTGTTTATATGGCGGGCCATCGCCTAGAGGTCCATAAAGTGGTCCCTACTCCCCAACAGTATCGAAATTGCTGGCACTTCGGACACACTGCTAAATACTGCAGATCTGCAGTGGAATGTCCAGTCTGCAGTGCCGCAGATCATGCCAATACATCTTGCAGTCTTCCCCCCACTTGTCTCAATTGCAGTGAACTTTACTCTTCTTTTTCCTTTCAATGTCAGGTCTTAATGAACGAGAAATCCATTGTCTTAAAGAGAACGAAGGCCTTATGCTATGGTTGTCTCTCGGCCCTGGCTTCAGGGAATTCTTCCTCGTGTCCCTTATTCTCGAGTAGCTAGGAAACCTCCAACCTTGGGGGTTCCCCCACCTACCAGCTCCTCTAGTGCCGTGTCTTCTGGGATCACCCCCCGTCTCTAATTCTTATGCAGTTTTACCCTCTGAGACTCCCACCTCTCTACCTATTCCTACTTCTACTTCTTCTCGCTTGCTAGTTTCTTAGTCTGCAAGGCCTCATAAGCCTGCATCTTCTTTGTGCCTATCACCTGCGAAGTTGAGCCTGGCTCATAAGCCCAAGTCTCTTAGCATTCCTCCGGTGCTTACAATTCCCAACAGTTTTCCTTTTTGGCCTTGGTGCCTGGTTCTCACCTTTTTTTCTAACTCTCACACGAAGGTAGAGGTTCACCCCTCCTCGTGTAGTCCTCTCTTCTCCAGTTTTCCCCCAGACTTCTTCCACAGTTACCTTCCAGCCTCCTTCCTCTTCTGTTCCACCAAAGGACTCTTCTGCCCCCGCCAGCGCGTCTCTCCAGGTTCATACTCCCCTCCCTTCTCAGACTTCTTTGGTTCCCTCCATAGTCTTCCCGATCTCTACTTGCTCTACGTCACCTGTCTCTGAAATCATGGTATCGGCATCTTCCTTATCCGCTGAGATACTTGATGCTATCTCCGATTATATTGCGGAGACGAAACCCTCGATGGACACCCCTTTTTATTTTTCACTACCCTTGTAGCAGTCTTTTCCTTCACAGCATTCTGATTCCTCCTCTCATTCTTTCCATTGCCTCAACACATTGACTTCACTGACCCTAACAGCCCATAGATTTTATCGCTTCTTATTGTTGGCATACCTGTTTTTGTGAATAATGACTTATTTACAATGGAATATTCGTGGCCTCAAGGGTAATTGGGGAGAACTCCAGGTGTTGCTCACCCAGTTTTCCCCAGTATGTCTTGGGTTAAAAGAGCCTAAAATTTGTTCAGCTTTTATTCGTCCTGTTTCGGGTTATGTGCTGCTGCATTCTTCTGATCCCTTTCCTGATGAATCATTTAACGAGAGTGCACGTTTTGTGCGCATTGGTATACCATGTCAACAGGTCTTTATTCGTTCTCTACTGCATTATACTGCAGCCCGTATTTATTTTCACAGATGGCATAGTGTTTGCTCTCTATATCTCTCCCCTTCCCATGCATTTTGTATCTCGGATGTTGCATTTTTGATCTCTTCCGCCGCCCATCTGGTTATGTGATTTTAACGCTCACCATCATCTTTGGGGAGGGTTCCACTGTGGCTCTTCATGTCTTAAATATGGGTGCTCCCACCCATTGTAACTGTCCCACTCAGTCTTTCTCTTGCATTGCTCTTTCTACCTGTCCTTATATTCTCATCTTACCGTTTTTTGTGGGGACCCTTCTTCGTCCTCTGTTGATGAGCTGGTGCACCAGTTTTCGACCTTAGTTTTGACTGTAGCATCACATTCTGTTCCTCAAACCTCAGGCAGGCATTCTCAGACATGCGTGCCTTGGTGGTCTCCTGTGTGTGTGCGTTTGAAATGCGCTGCATTGTGCCATTATCGATATAATCAGACCTCAGATCGTCTTTTGGACTTTAAGCAGGCAAGGGCAGACGCTCGTCGCGTCATACGCAATGCTAAACATATTTGTTGGCAAGACTGTGTATCTATCATTACCTCGACTTTCCCTGTGTGAGCGGTTCGGAAGAAGGTATGGAAGTCGTGTGGCAAGTACACTCCAGACCCAGCTCCCATTTTGCAGGTTGCTGGTGTTAGTGTGCGGAACTTCTTGAAGTTGCCACGGAAATTGGGAACTATCTTCTCCGTGTCTCCCACCTGTATCCCTCATTTCTCTCGTCTAAGTCTACCAAGGAGAAATTGCCCTTGGATTTCTCTTCTAATGGAATGGAGCCATATAACGTACCTTTCACTCTCCTAGAGCTAGAGTCCACGCTTTCTGTTACATATATGCCTCCTTCGACGTTTATAATCATTTCACATTCCCTAAGTGCTTTACAAGCCATTAAACAATTTGATTCCCCTCATCCATTGGTCCTTCGTATTTAACTATGGTTGCACCGTGTGGCTAGCAAAGACAAAAGATGTCGTTTTCTGTTGGGGTCCCTGGACACGTTGATGTGCAGGGCAATGAACAGGCGGATACTGCTGCGCAGTCAGCGGTACATGATCTTCAGGTTCCCTATAGAGGTATTCCGTTCAGGGATTATTTTACAGTCATCTCTTCCCGTCTTCGCAGCCGTTGGCAACAACGGTGGTCAAACATGCACCATAACAAACTGCACTCTATTAAACCACTTTTAGATTTGTGGCCATCTTCTTAACCACCGTTGCCGTACTCGGGACACTGCGCTCTCCCGTCTCAGCATCGGCCAACCCTCCATATCCATGGGTATCTCATGGAATGACACCCTGTTCCTCTCTGTGAGGTTTGTTGGGTCCCTGTTTCGGTTCTTCACTTTCTTGTGGATTGCCCAGTTGACCAGCGAGCTCGCAGGGCTTACCTCTGACGCCGCTGACCTACCACTCTTACCTTATCTTCTATTTTTGCAAACGCTCTTTCTTGCCTTTGACTTACGATCACTTTTTAACTTTTTGTTAGCAACTACTGCTTTACTTTACGAAATTTGACACACAGCCCTTAGTATTCTTTCCAGCCCTTTTCTCCTCTCACTTTTGATCCCTTCTCCCCTTAGCTGTTTATAACTCCGGCTCTATTTTCTGTCCCAATGCGCTGCATGACCCTTGTCGGTTTAGCCCTTTCTTTGACTGTAATAATGATAATCCATACTGTTGCCCTTGTTCACCAATAATAACTCGACTATTATGGGTAACATTCGAGAAGAGGAGAAACCGCTGGATTTCGACATGAGTTGAGGTAGATTAACATCTCACATTTTTTAAATTTATAATAGAAACAGCAACTCTCAGGAAGATTTTTGAATTTGCATCTAGTCGAAACATCAAATACCGGGAGGAGTGTCAAGAGGTTCAATATTCATACGAGTGTATTTACGGACCGCGGTTTGAGCCCCTCGTCCACGCTTCCTTTTGTTCATTTATATGTCGAGCCAAATATTTAGCAAGAACTCATTTAAAAATAAGTCCTTTTCAAAATTTTCTCATATACGTTTAAAGATATATTTTTTCCATTCATGTTAATGCAAAATTAATAATTTTGTACCAAAAAAAATTTAGAAAACTTAATTACCCTTATTAGTTAGCCTTAATTTAGCCTAATCCAACTAAATATATTTTTGATAAGTTTACAATAATTTAATAATAAACAAACACAATGAAATATATTAACTTTTTGTTACGTTCACAATGATTTTGCGATATTATTGCATACACAAATTTTTGCTTGCCTTATACGGCAAGAATAGCGTTGTTATTTAAGCCAAAATCGCAAGTTTTATATATATATATAATATATAATATATATATATATATATATATATATATATATATATATACTATAGGTAGTAGGTTGATAGACAGCAACCACCCAGGGAGGTACTACCGTCCTGCCAAGTGAGTGTAAAACTGAAGCCTGTAATTGTTTTACACGATGGTAGGATTGCTGGTGTCTTTTTTTTTTGTCTCATACACACGCAAGATTTCAGGTACGTCTTGCTACTTCTACTTACACTTAGGTCACACTACACATACATGTACAAGCATATATATATACACCCCTCTGGGTTTTCTTCTGTTTCCTTTCTAGTTCTTGTTCTTTGTATATTTCCTCTTACCTCCATGGGGAAGTGGAACAGAATTCTTCCTCCGTAAGCCATGCGTGTTGTAAGAGGCGACTAAAATGCCGGGAGCAAGGGGCTAGTAACCCCTTCTCCTGTATATATTACTAAATGTAAAAGGAGAAACTTTCGTTTTTCCTTTTGGGCCACCCTGCCTCGGTGGGATACGGTCGGTGTGTTGAAAGAAAGAAATATATATATATATGTCGTGCCGAATATGTAAAACTGGTCAATTAGCAAGAACTCATTTAAAATTAAGTCCTTTCTGAAAATTTATCTTATGCGTTTAAAGATATATTTTTTCATTAATGTTAATGTAAAAAATTTTAATTTTGCACCAGAAGAATCTTAGAAAACTTACCTAACCTTATTATAACAAGAGCGACATATATATATATAATATATATATATATATATGAAACCATTTATTTCATCTTCATTACTGAAGAAAGAAATATTCTTCACACATTTTTGTCGTGTTTTTGAGAACATAGTTTTTCTAGTAAATCAGCTCACCAATTTTGAAATCGCCTTCTTGGATCATCATATCAACGCTGATAGTTTTGTCTGGGACGGGGTAGAACTCCTTCTTAAGTGTGTCCTTTGGCTTGAATGCAGTCTTCCAAAGACCTTTGAAGTAGGCAGCATTAATCAACACCATTGACGCACTTTGCACATCGCGACCTGAAACCACTGTTGGGATCTTGCCTCGCGTCTTTTGGCTCACAAATTTATTAATTGTTCCTGCGGCTTCATTACCCTGATGGATGAAAGATAAGAAACGAAAGTATTAGAGGAAGAAACCCTTTGAAAAGCTCGTTTTCTAAATGATTTTTGTTATATTTATAGAAAGAGCGCTGAACACGTTTGGATCATGAAGCGCTTCGGGCAATCGGATTCGGGAGATGGAAGAGAACGTCAGGTCCAGTTCCTTGGACCAATAAGTGTCAGTAAGTCAAGAATCCTAAAAATACATAAGAATTAACAAAGCTAGCCAAGGTTGTAGGCCAAATTCCCATTGTTAGTAAAGAAGCACTAGGAGTCATCATTGAGAATAATAAGGAAAGTTTATTTTTTTCTGTCAAGTTACCCGGAAGTTCACTGAGTTCAATGGTGAAAAGTCCTCGAGAGAGCCACTGTGGATTTTTTTTTTGAAAATTTTCCAAGATGACAGCCGTCAAGATACTCTAAATATTTTGTGCTTTTTTTTATATTATTACACGGAATATAAAGGTGTTCGTGGTGCCGGTAAACTGAATTTATAGAATGAGACAGTCAATAAAACCTGAAATGCATTGAGATGTCTCATTATAGGAATAAATCCAGTGCGATCGTAATTTGACTTATCAGTTAATCTTAGTTCGACTCTTTTTAATTTTTTGGCAGTTCAAATGTTGAATTCAGGCCTCTAAGTGTTTGTGCACATTTTTTTGGAAACGCTGCGAATTAAATTAAGCCATCACAGAAACACTAGTATGTGCCCATATTAACATCAGCCAAAAGTGTTTATATTTCATGTATCAAGCCAAATGTACGCACCAGTTCTTATTTTCGTGTCATATGTTGTCAGACTAACAAAACAAAGTCAAGACGAAGTACAGTCCTTCTATGGAGGTCCATTGATGCTGGTGAGGGGCTCTTGATCTAAGGAATTGAATGAATGCTACAATACCATGAATCAAGCTTTAATGCCTTCCATTCCCCCAAGCGTTGTATGACCCTTATGGGTTTAGCGATCCTAATGACTATTTTAATAATATTTTCACTAAAGTAGAACTGAGTTAATGTTTGTTTTTATTCTCATATTATTCCAAATATTACATTAAGTGATTCTACAATACATTACGTAAGGCACAACATAATATATATCAGTGGACTAACATTGCAGGGGCGAGATACAGTTTTCTTTCTTTCATTTGACAGTGTCGTTTTAATAATGATGACTAATCAAGATTTATACATGTCGTGGAGTTTCAGGTATTGAGTGTAATAATTTTACGCAAGTGGGTTTCTAGATTGAAGGCTCATAACTCTTCCTCTGCATGCTTGCCCGAAACAGGATGAACACATACGTGTGAAAAACAAACTTACTTGCTACACTTTCATCTGCTGATCCTTACTCAATGCCTTAATGTTGGGTTTAGCTCAGACTCTCTTCCTTTCTCTGTAGTTCTTTCCACTCTTCCATCAACTATCCTCACTTTCCTCTCGCTCCTGGTGGGTCCTTACCTGAAAGCCTTCGTTCGTTCGTTACCATAGCCATTCTCACGCCGATAACTTGCTGTTGATGTTGGATAGAAATTCTTCATGTGAGGATGAAGCCATCCTGTCTGTGTCAAATATTATCTTAGCTGAGGCGTTCTGCGTAGCACAGCAATCTTGCTCGGCAACTTTGGTTGACAAATCACCGTTGTAGCCATCAAACGCGATCATGATTTCAATTGTACCGTAGCTGCTGAGATCATTAGTCACATATCTGTTACAAATGTCAGCGAGATTGCATGCATTAAGTCAGCTATGAAACGCTTGTTAGTAAGTGACCATAAACAATACAGCAGGGAACTTGAGGAACTGCCATCCGAGATGTAACTGGCTTTTCCATGAAATGAGCCAAATCACTCCTCGCAGTTTTATGCCAAATATCCTTGTCATAGTGGCTGGGTATGAATACCAAACGCATTCTACGTATACTTTTCCATATCTTTCTGCAACTTTGCTATGCATGTAACTTTCATGAACAGGAATGTGCTATCGAATTGTACTTCCTGATCACCATCTACAAAACGGTTACCAACTGCACTTATGCATTTGATTCGGTCTCTCCTCTCGCTTTTGGAGTCTACCTGGAGGGTGTTTTTAGAACAACGCCCCCGCGGCCCAGTCATTGATCAGATCTCAAAAACTACACGTAAGTCAGCATAGTTCTTTCCTGTAGTTGAATTTATAATTCTTTTACCCATATCATATGTTTGGTCAGCAGTTACTGATTGGTGAGCAACAATGCCATTTCATGAATTAGGTACATGTTTATTGCTTTATTTTTTACCGATATGTGTCGGCTGCACAATAGGCTCCTTCAGTCGATTACAATCGGCTATAACACTGGGGACAATAGAAGTAGTTTTGAGATCAGTTCCTCAGTTTTTTTAGGAGATAGACACTGAAGCCTATTGAAAGAGGGATGTGGTCTGACCTTATTTTCAAAGCTTTGTTGATGAATTATTTCAAATATTGTATTTAAGGTAGTATTTCTGAAAGAATTTTTTCACTAAAGCGTATACTTATTTTACGAAATATTTTCAACAAAGAAGATAACTTGGCAAATATATTCCACTTCCATCAAATGGTGACATGTAGTGTTATCTAAGCAATAAATTGCAATGATATTTGGATTCACTTATACGATCAAAGATTAATCCAGCGGCTGATACATTCTGAATGAGATTGTGCTTAGGAAGTTCGTTTAATTTTTGAAGAGCCTCTAGTTTACTGGAGGCTAGATGAGAGTGACCGAAGTAGCTCACTATTAGTCTACAGTTACCAATGATGTCTTTCATTATTCTCTTCTCCAGAATACAATCTTGAATAACCTGTTAAAGTTTATGTACTGTCTTTGTGTGTGTGTGTGTGTGTGTGTGTGTGTGGGTGTGTGTGTGGTGTCTGTGTCTGTGTGTGTGTGTCTGTCTGTGTACTCACCTTGTTGAGGTTGCAGGGGTCAAGTCCAACCTCCTGGCCCCGCCTCTTCACTGTGTGTGTGTGTGTACTCACCTAGTTGTACTCACCTAGTTGAGGTTGCAGGGGTCGAGTCCAAGCTCCTGGCCCCGCCTCTTCACTGATCGCTACTAGGTCACTCTCCCTGAACAGTGAGCTTTATCATACCTCTGCTTAAAGCTATGTATGGATCCTGCCTCCACTACATCGCTTCCCAAACTATTCCACTTCCTGACTACTCTGTGGCTGAAGAAATACTTCCTAACATCCCTGTGATTCATCTGTGTCTTCAACTTCCACTTGTTGCTGTGTCCCATCTCTGGAACATCCTGTCTTTGTCTACCTTGTCAATTCCTCTCAGTATTTTGTATGTCGTTATCATGTCCCCCCTATCTCTCCTGTCCTCCAGTGTCGTCAGGTTGATTTCCCTTAACCTCTCCTCGTAGGACATACCTTTTAGCTCTGGAACTAATCTTGTTGCAAACCTTTGCACTTTCTCTAGTTTCTTTACGTGCTTGGCTAGGTGTGGGTTCCAAACTGGTGCCGCATACTCCAATATGGGCCTAACGTACAGGGTGTACAGGGTCCTGAACGATTCCTTATTAAGATGTCGGAATGCTGTTCTGAGGTTAGCTAGGGCCTAGCCCATATGCTGCAGCAGTTATTTGGTTGATGTGCGCTTCAGATGTGCCTGGTGTTATACTCACCCCAAGATCTTTTTCTTGAGTGAGGTTTGTAGTCTCTGGCCCCCTAGACTGTACTCCGTCTGCGGTCTTCTTTGCCCTTCCCCAATCTTCATGACTTTGCACTTGGTGGGGTTGAACTCCAGTAGCCAATTGCTGGACCAGGTCTGCAGCCTGTCAAGATCCCTTTGTAGTTCTGCCTGGTCTTCGATCGAATGAATTCTTCTCATCAACTTCACGTCATCTGCAAACAGGGACACTTCGGATTCTATTCTTTCCGTCATGTCGTTCACAAATACCAGAAACAGCACTGGTCCTAGGACTGACCCCTGTGGGACCCCGCTGGTCACAGGTGCCCACTCTGACACCTCGCCACGTACCATGACTCGCTGCTGTCTTCCTGACAAGTATTCGCTGATCCATTGTAGTGCCTTCCCTGTTATCCGTGCTTGGTCCTCCAGTTTTTGCACTAATCTCTTGTGTGGAACTGTGTCAAACGCCTTCTTGCAGTCCAAGAAAATACAATCCACCCACCCCTCTCTCTCTTATCTTACTGCTGTCACCATGTCATAGAACTCCAGTAGGTTTGTGACACAAGATTTCCCGTCCCTGAAACCATGTTGGCTGCTGTTGATGAGATCATTACTTTCTAGGTGTTCCACCACTCTTCTCCTGATAATCTTCTCCACGACTTTGCATACTACACATGTCAGTGACACTGGTCTGTAGTTTAGTACTTCATGTCTGTCTCCTTTTTTAAAGATTGGGACTACATTTGCTGTCTTCCATGCCTCAGGCAATCTCCCTGTTTCGATAGTTGTATTGAATATTGTTGTTAGGGGTACACATAGCGCCTCTGCTCCCTCTCTCAGGACCCATGGGGAGATGTTATCCGGCCCCATTGCCTTTGAGGTATCTATCTCACTCAGAAGCCTCTTCACTTCTTCCTCGGTTGTGTGTACTGTGTCCAGCACTTGGTGGTGTGCCCCACCTCTCCGTCTTTCTGGAGCCCCTTCTGTCTCCTCTGTGAACACTTCTTTGAATCTCTTGTTGAGTTCCTCACATACTTCATGGTCATTTCTTGTTGTCTCTCCTTCCTTCCTTAGCCTGATTACCTGGTCCTTGACTGTTGTTTTCCTCCTGATGTGGCTGTATAACAGTTTCGGGTCAGATTTGGCTTTCGCTGCTGTGTCGTTTTCATATTGTCGTTGGGCCTCCCTTCTTATCTGTGCATATGCGTTTCTGGCTCTACGACTGCTCTCCTTAATCTTCTGGGTCCTTTGCCTTCTGTATTTCTTCCATTCCCTGCACCTTTGGGTGAACCATGGGCTCATCCTGGCTTTTTCATTATTCCTGTTACCCTTGG